TTCTAAGTGAGCTGTACAATATACACGTTAAAAGATGGTCACGGCTAAGAACTTGCTTAGATTGTGGCCTACAAAGTCCATCTCCATCAGTTAACTTTGTAAGTAAGTAAGTTTGGGGCACACCAGTTCAGTACCCACCTCAAATTAGTTCTGTCAGCTCCATCAAGGGGTCTGATGAAAAGTCCTGTGCTCCTCATCTTCAAACTGTGACAGCAGCAGCAGCATCGCTACTGCAACACAGAGCACAGACATTGGTGAGACAGAGACCTCACAATGTCAAGGATGTGCAGACTTGGAAAAAGGTCTCTCTTCTAAAAAGCTCATAGTTTTCGCCAACAGTAATCTAATAAAGCACAAAATGGGAGAATTTACTTTACTGTATGAAAAAAACATGTGGGAAAAGTATTGAAAGGGAGGCTGAAACATGGAGAGATTATGAATTACCCCAGATCACACAGGAATTCAGCAGCAGAGCTAGGAAATCAATCCAGCTCTCATGTGCTTCAGCACGTTTTAAACACAGTGTAGTCCTTGATATTTGCCGACTCTTTGTCTGATCTATGTAGCTTGTAAGCAGGGAAGTACGTTTTAAACACAGTGTAGTCCTTGATATTTGTCGACTCTTCGTCTGATCTATGTAGCTTGTAGCAGGGAAGTGAAATAAAGTGGTCTAATACCAACTGGTCACAAGAATGTTTCATTTTCAGTGAAATGGGATTGGATTTGGATACATACGGGCAGAAGGTTTGTGCCACTTCAGCAGGCTTTAATTCAATCACTGTTTTCATGGCTCAGAAATCTCACTCTTGCGTAAGTGCCACATCACTCAAGCTGCTGAATAAGGGGATTTCTCCAGAATTCTGATTATTTTTGGTTCTCAAAATAAACTGTTCATGTTGCCAATTTGTTTACTTGACACAACACAATAGGAAGGACTTAATTTATGGAGCCTGCAGAAGGAAGGAAACCTTCAGCAGTTTTACTGGTCACGTTTGTACACCTGTGGCATAAAATCAAACTCATGGTGTTTGTTGCTTTTCCTACCTGGGGAGGCTCAGACCATGGCCTGTTACAGAAAGGGATGAGCACACATCAGCTTTGCCCGTAGTTCAGCACATGGGATACCAACACCAGTCACATTTCTGCAGATCAACTTCAAGAGTACTAAAACGACCTTTTAAAAAATACCTTTTAAGGCACATTGCAGCACGAGTAAGAAAATGGACCCCAACTCCTCATTCGACTGGCTCCACGTGCTGAATTACAGCAGAACATACAAGTACCTCTACTTGGAAGGGAACCCCCCCAGCCTTCAGTGGCGGCTGTCTTCATCGTCTCGTACCTCCTCATCTTCCTGCTCTGCATGGTTGGCAACACAGCGGTTTGCTGCATCGTTCTGAAGAGCAAACGGATGCGCACGGTCACGTACCTCTTCATCCTGAACCTGGCTGTCAGCGATTTGCTGGTGGGCATCTTCTGCATGCCCACCACCCTCCTGGACAACATCATTGCAGGTAGGGTTTGCATCTCTGAGCGCTGGGACCCTGAGACACCCTCAAATGGCTCCTTACCTCTGTCCCTGGAGCACAGAAACCAACTCCTTCAAGAACCCTGGGGCAAACTGGGAGCCCTCATTTTGCATAGGCAGAAGGGGCAAAACCTCTCACACATGGCACCCCCATGGGTTAGAGAAGTTTAGGTGTCCTTGCACCTCTCTGCTCAGCAGAGACCTCAGGGAGGGTGAAGGTGCCACGGCTTTGAGGGTACTCAGGAGGGCATTGCAGTCAGCACTCACCACTCACCACGGGCAGTGACAACTCACCAAATTTATCAAAGCATTTCTTTATATAGCCTCTGCCTTCCTAACCCCTGCTACAGCCTGGCAGAGCAAAAGCAATGCATTAGTTCTGGGGCAGAGATTTCCTGCTGTAAGCCCAGCACTGCAGTGAGGTGGCAGCAATTTCAATTGTCTGTTTGCTCCCAGGTTGGCCGTTCGGGAGCCTGGTCTGCAAGATGAGCGGGATGGTCCAAGGAGTTTCTGTCTCTGCCTCTGTCTTCACCCTGGTTGCTATTGCCGTGGACAGGTAAGGTGATGCAGACACCGTAAACTGTCACTTCCCTCTCCCTCAGGCCGCCTGTCTGTGCTGAGGCCCATTTATTAATTGACACAACACTGCTATAGATTAGGTGTATTTTGCTCCTAGGGCTATTAAGCAAAACAAAACGTGGCCGGGTCTAAAGAGCAGCCACAGCAATTTGCTCCTGCACTGGTATCTCTTAAAGATGGTATGGCCAGGCTGGAACTGGTGTGCTCCTTAGCTATTAAGTTAACAACAAATGTGGCCTTCTTTAGATTGTTTTTTACCATCACAGCTCTTAAATGGAGCAACAAAATACAACTCCTCTGGTTTATGCAGGACGAGGAGATGGTCCCATCTCTGTTTTTAAAAACCATACAATTTACAAGGTGGACGTGTGCTTGCCTGTTGGAGTCAGCATTCCTTAACCAGCTCCTCCACGTGTTGCCGTGTGTCTCTGCCCCAGGTTCCGGTGCATCGTGTATCCGTTCAAGCAGAAGCTGACCATTTCCACCGCCGTCGTCATTATCGCAGTCATCTGGGTCCTGGCCGTCACCATCATGTGTCCGTCTGCGGTCATGCTGCAGGTACGAGAAGAGAAGCATTTCAGGGTGATCCTTGGCTACGGCAACGCAACCCGCCCCGTCTACTGGTGCCGGGAGGACTGGCCCGACCCGGCAATGAGGAAGATTTACACCACGGTTCTCTTTGCCAACATCTACCTGGCTCCCCTGTCGCTCATTGTCATCATGTACGGCAGGATCAGCGTCGCTCTCTTCAACACAGCGATGCCCGCGGTGGGAAAAATCACCCGGGAGCAGCGGCGCTGCGTGTCGAAGAAGAAGCAAAAAGTCATCAAGATGCTCATCGTGGTGGCTTTGCTTTTCACCCTGTCCTGGCTTCCCCTGTGGACTCTGATGCTGCTTTCGGACTACGCCAACCTTTCGGATGAGCAGCTGCAGCTCATCAACATTTACATCTACCCCTTTGCTCACTGGCTGGCCTTTTTCAACAGCAGCGTCAACCCCATCATCTACGGCTTCTTTAACGAAAACTTTCGCCGGGGCTTTCAGGCCGCCTTTCAGCTTCAGCTCTGCTCCGGGGAGGTCTATTCCCAGCGAGGCAAAAACAACGTCGCTTTGCCCCCTGCCCGGGACCATGCTGGTCAAAATGCTAAGGAGGAGGGGAAGAGAGTCCGGAAATGTAATTGGGTGGATAATGAGCAGGACTTGGTAATGGAGGATCTACAGGAGCCCTGCAATGATGGGATTAAGTGAAGCATGCCATAAACTACATGATTTATGTCTGGCAGAGCTTATTTCCTGTGCTGTAAAACTCATGCTCTGTAAGCCCTTTCTGACACTTGTTTGTTCTGAAGGAGATGTGCCACTTACACAATACCTGACCGTGGAGACAAGCAGAAAACCAAATGGAGCCTCCTGAGCTACCAGCTCAAAGCAGGGCTGGCTCCCTTGCAGCCAGGGATGACTCACGACTCCTGAACTGGGCTGGAGCAAAGCCGTGGTTGACATGGGATTATCTTCCATTTACTGTGAGGGAAAGAAAAGAGACCTATGGTTATTGACTGGGATACAATTACTCATGAAACTCACTGATGAAGAGGAGAACATTCATTCATTCGCTTCTGTGAATTTCTCAGAGTGGCTGAAGCAGGGCTGCTTGAACAACATTTCTTGTGATGTTTCAGCACGTAAGGCTGGTTGTTGCTGTTCACAACTGCAATTTCCTTCTGATACCAGGCAATGAAAGCATCACTGCTGTTTGCAGCACCCAGCCAGACTGCAGAGCTGGGTACAGGAGGGACTCCTGAGACTTGACATGGCCTGGGCGTATGCATCATGGGGGAATTCAAATCTTGGGGCTCAGGGCACCTCCAGCCACTGCGGCTGAGGGCATCCCTGTTATTGCATTAAGAAACCATTTTATCTGTAGCAAAAAGTAAATATTTTCAGTCAGATACCATTTATTCCTCTTTCTGGTTGCCCCTCCTTGTTAAGTCTGTGATATTAATTCTTGTTGCAACTGGAGAAATAAATAGGAGTGAAAATTTGAGAAATAAAGGATGAAAAATGTCCCTTTTCTGTGGGATCTCAATTCTATTTTGGGGAGGGCAGGTATAAGTCACTTAGAAAGACTGTCACTTCAATACCAGCAGGAGAGAAAACCCCTTTAAGGCCCACTCAGTCTGACAGGGCCCAGCAGGTACAGACAGCAATGCTGGAAACACCTCAGAGTGTACTGAAATCAGGGAGGGATGCAGGTTGGTGCAAGGACCAGGCCACACAGATCTGCTAGAGGATCAGATCATCACCACACCTGGTCCTGTGAGGGTCTCTAGGGGATAAATGCCTGGTACGGTCATTCCCCAGGATTAGGTGGCATTCTTGGTGATCAAACTGCAGTCCTTCTTCAGGTGAATTGGAGAACCCTTCAGATCACTACAGATCCACACAATTCAGGAAAACTGACAACTTTTCAGGCTGTGTTGTCCTAAATTTCAAAATTAATAAGTTTTTCTTTTTAAAGACTGAATTTCAGAATGCTTTCTGAACACCACCCCGAAACAGAAATCTCACTGTGACTGAACTGTGACAATCTCTAACATAACATATTTTTAAAAATTGAAAACAATCTCTTTTAAAAAGCAACATTTCATGCTGGAAACAGACAGGAGGAGATGAAGATCATTATGCAGCCGTCACCACCTGCAGCTTGCTGTCTCCTGCAGCCCAAATACTCACACATTGAACTCTCTGCAGCCTCTTCAGAATCCACAACTTAGGGGGATGGCAAAGACAAAACTCCCAAACTGAGAGGTATCAATACATCAGCTCACACAAAGGGTTTTGAAGTGGGTCCAGCAGCAGCTGGACCACTGAGGCCTTGGTGTTTACCGGTGTGACACAGGGGACACCATCAACACCATGGGACCACCTCTGTCATTCTTCTTCCTGCAAGCACTGAGCGACTTGAGCACTTTTCAGCGTCAGTGTCCAAATTATGGCATTTTATCACATGCTGAAGAATTTGAATTTATCTGCAGAGGTGCCAGGTGACTGAGGAGTCTATGTAACTGAAATTGCAGGTATCTGAGATTTTAGGTAATAGGAAAGCTGTACTAATTGCTAGCAGTAATGATAAGCTACACTGCTTGTTATAATCTTTATGTAATAATGAAACTGTAATTATAACTACAGCCCTGTGCCCAGTTGTTCTCATTCTACCAAGGATCCTCAGAAAAACCTGCCTGTTCTCATAGCATCAGGTGACAAAACCCCAAAACCATCCTCCCAAAAAGCTAGTGGGGATTTGTGAAGTATGAATCACCTCAAACCAAATCAGACTGAAGTCCCATTTAAATGTAGGGCCTTGTCTCGTGATGCTGTGGGTGCACCATGTCATACCTGGCTTTGCTGACCCCGCATGGTTTCAGACCTTCCCCATGGCCACGGGCTGCTCTGGCCTGACCTGGACAGGACTCTGAGCTCAGCTCTTCTCACAGGAATGCTGTGGGGCTGTGTCCTCATTTGGGGAGTCCTCTGCTGCCAGCCTGGGCTCCTGGCTCTGTTTCTTCCTGTGTAATAATAAAAAAAGGGAATAAATTAGGTATAAACCATTTCAAAAAGAAGAAAGAAAAACCCCAAGTGACTAGGAAAAGGTAGACATCTGTCAACACAACTTCTCCGATCAGCAGAGCGTGGCAGTAACAGTTGTATTTGCATTTCTCTAACCTCCTGCTTTCACACCACAGTATATTTTACAGTTTGCATCAGGCAAGCATCAGTTTGCAGGGATGAATCGATATGTTTGTTATATCAGCTTGGACTGAACACTGCATACATCCTGGCACTGTACAGCACTCTGGTCTGAATTTGCAGCCACAGCTGACAACCAGAAAGGATTATCTGGAAACTATAAGAACTGCCTATTTGCCCCATTTTCACAGCCTCTAGTTCCATAGGCAAGAAGCTTTCTTAAAGTCTTTGGTCTTGAAGATGACCATAGATGTGTTTTCTGTGAAGGGACAGAATAAAAGAAGGAAGAAAAAGGAAGTAAAATTTCCCACAATTTCTTCTCAATTTTAATAAAAGACATTTCTGAAAGCCAGGGAGCACATGTGGTTTACCCACACTGTAGAACATCCCGTGCTCTGATTTAATAAACACTCCCAGTTTGCAAACACTGAGCTTTCCAACAGCTACTGGGGTCCAAAGACGGAATCGCTGGCTGTTTGGGGATTGTAGCAACAGCAACCACCTCCCAGAACATATGAATTAATTTGGATGTCACCAAATATCCAATGGCAGGATACACATCCCTCTCTTGTCGAGCACTGCCTTGAAACAATTCATGTTTGCAAACACCAGAGGAGCAGCACCTTGCATCTTCTCATCCCTTCTCACTCCCAAATTGCTGCTGCACAACAGGGCTCCTCCAGACTCAGCCAGGGATGGCAATGTCCAAGAGAGACCTTCAAAAGAGCTGAACAGGACCTGTCCTTTCTGAGGGCAGAGCAAAAGTGCCCAGAGAAGTGCTTACAGGTATTACAAACCTGGTGACTGCTATCGATCATTCGTGGCTATTCGATGAACAGGAAATCAAGGCTTCAGTCCCGTGTGCCAGCCCAGGAGATGCCACACAGAAATAACTCTAATTTTCCCTTCAGCAGAGCTTAGCGTCCTGTTTGCTCTCATTGAGGAAATAATGAATGCTTCATCTCCCTGCACATGTGTCTCCAAAGCTGTCAGCACCCTGGCTCCATAAATGGGAAGAAAACATCTGTCCCCATGGCTCAGCCAAGGGCTGAGACTGCATCTCTGGCCCCTTCACTTCAGTCCTCACCTCTAATACCTGTTGCATGCAGTGACAGAAATACTCCCGTGTCTCACACTCTGGGTCCTCCACGAACAGCCAAGACAGGCAGTGAAGGATGAGGATCCCAGAGCCAGCACTGCCTGTCCTTCGGCTCCCAAGGTGCAGTGGTGCTGATGGCAGCGTCCTGCTGGTACAACGGCTCTCACATCACTGTCCTGCTGGTACATCAGCTCTCATGCCACTGGCGCAGGGGACCACAGGGGCACCAGACACCAGTGGTACCACAGAGGGCAAATTGTGCCCCTGGCCGCTTGTTTGGGGTGTGTCTGCGCTGTCACCGCTGCAGGACTCTCACTGCAGAGGCTGTCTCTGACTCGCCCTGCTGTCCCCTCACTGCAGACCTTGGGGCTGAGCTGTCTTCACCAGTGAAGTGCACTGCCTGGAATTGCTCTGCTCTTTTCTAAGATTTTCCTCTCACTCACCAGCAGCTCCCTTCTCAGGGGTTGCACTCCCTTGGCATCATTTTCTGCCTAAATCCATGCTGTAAAGAGAAGGTTCAGGGTTCGCCTGTACTCGTTAAACAAGTGTGGATTTAATCGTGCCCTTTCAAGCTTATCCAACCTCTGCCATCCTTGTCTCACTGTCACTGCTCAGCGATTTCTTCCTGACTCGAGGCTAAGCCACGAGAGGCAATTCCTTCTCACCGTGCTCTCTAATTGCTGACAAAAGGTGAACTCTTCAGGAAACGTTTCCTACTTTGGTTTTTCCTCACAGAGTTTTTAAAACTGCAGGTTGGGGTGGTTGGCACCAATGGTTTCTTTTATGGTTATCTTGAAGGTGTCTCTGAATTCTTCAAGAGCTCAGGATCCTAAGGGCAAATATCAAGAATTCAAAGCTGCTTTGGTTTTTAGAGATAAATAGAGGGTTTCTCAAACGTTTCTCCTTCCCTCTGAACTGACAGCACTGAGGATAAGGATCCAGGGACAATTTTCCCATCTTCCAAAAATGGAATATCTCATTGCCTGTCTCAATTGAAAAATAAATAGTCATCATGGACATCAATGCTGAAACAACTCAGAAACCACTCAGCAAACACCCTGCACATCTGGAAATGTTAATAAGGAAGTCACAGTCCTCCGCTTAGACACTTGGTGCTCTCACATTCTGCTGAGAAGAGGCAAACAGCTAAAATTTCTGCCATAAGGTAAAGAAAGTGTTATAAACAATTAAGTTGATGTACAAAAAAAAGGATGCTAATTGGCATAATTACTGTAATTCACAGAATTACACCGAGAAAAGTAAACATTGTTGCTGGGTAGTGAAAAAAACAGGTCATTAAAATGATATCATCCCACACCAGCAGAATATCAAGGGAGTAAAGCAAATTACACATTAATAGATGTGTCAAAATCCTTAGCTATGACACTGCCAAGTTCTGTTT